GAAAACTGAACATTGGATACTTCAAAGTGTGGGGGTGTCTTGCCTATTGCAAGAACACGAATCCTAATAGGACCAAATTGGGTCCAAGAGACAAAAATGTGCCTCTATTGGATATGCAAACAATAGCAAATCTTATAGATTACTAAATTTGGAGTCCAATGTGATTATCGAATCCAACGATGTGGAGTTCTTTGATGATTCGTTATCTTCGGATAATGAATTGAGGGAAAATCTTGAAAATATCCCTAACTCAAGTGGAACACATGATGAAATATCTTCTAAGGATGTTGATGAATCTAGTGAACCAAGAAGAAGCAAGAGAATTCGAGTTGAAAAGTCTTTGGGATCGAATGAAATCGATTCTCAACTTATCTCCTTTTATTTAGTAGAGGGAAATGAGTTGAATGTTGTGAGAACAATTCCTTTTGTTCTGCAAGTAGAAACCGACCCTAAGACTTATAAAGAAGCTATGGCTTCTCGTGATAGCATCTTTTGGAAAGATACAATTAAGAACGAAATGGATTCGATAATGTCCAATAATACTTGGGAACTTGTTGATTTACCACCGGGATCCAAGCCTATTTGATTCAAATGGGTATTTAGGAGAAAATACAATATTGATGGATCCTTAAATACCTTCAAGGCTAGCTTAATAGTCAAAGGATATCGACAAAAAGAAGGAATAGACTATTTTGATACTTATGCACCGGTGGCTAGAATAACATCGATTAGGATATTATTCGCTTTGCCTTCAATATATGACTTGCATGTTCATCAAATGGATGTCAAGACGGCATTTTTAAATGGAGATCTCGATGAGAAGGTCTCTATGGAACAACCCGAAGGGTTTGCCCTACCTGAAAATGAACATAAAGTGTGCAAGTTGGTGAAATCTTTATATGGTCTGAAACAAGCACCAAAGAAATGGCATGAGAAGTTTGGCTTAGCAATAATATCATTCAAGTTTAAACATAATAGCGTTGATAAATGTTTATATTCTAAAGTTTGTGATGATTATGTGACATTTATATGCTTGTATGTTGACGACATACTAATTATGAGTAATCACATGGACGGAATAGAAGAAACAAAAATGTTTCTTTCTTCTATATTCAAGATGAAGAATATTGGATAAGTGGATACCATTTCAGGTATCAAAGTCACAAAAACTAGTGGGGGTTACTATCTAAGTCAATCACATTATATTGAGAATGTGATAAATAAATTTAAACATTTGAACATAAAGGAATGTAGTACCCTGATTGATCCAAGTTCAAAACTAATAAAGAATGATGGAAGAGCGATTACTCAATTGGAATATGCAAGTGCTATAGGGAGTGTTATGTATACTGTTCAATGCACAAAACTAGATATAACTTATGCAATAAGTAAACTTAGTAGGTTTACTAGCAATTCGAGTAATGATCATTGGAAGGCTATTGTGAGAGTTCTTGGATACTTAAAGAAAATCAAGAACTTGGGCCTACAATATACTAAATTCCCGACGATATTGGAAGGATTTATCGATTCTAGTTGGATATCTAGCACGGGTGGAAGTAAATCCACTTCGGGTTGGGTATTCACTTTTGGAGGAGGTGCTGTTTCTTGAAAATCAAAGAAACAAACATGTATAACACACTCGACCATGGAATTTGAATTTGTAACTTTATCGGATACCGGGAAAGAGGTTAAGTGACTTAAGGATCTCTTATATAAGATACATTAGGGATCGAAGAATATCTCTTCAATACCTATCATGTGTGATAGTCAAGCCACGTTAGCAAATGCATATAACGAGGTATACAATGGAAAGTTTAGACATATGAGTCTGAGACATGACTATATAAGGAAATTAATCAAAGATGGAATAATTTTGCTAAATTATGTAAAATCAGTTGAGAATTTAGCGGATCCTTTAACTAAAGCACTAAATAGAGATTTAGTGGCATCTACTTCGAATAGAATGGGGTTGAAACTTCTTAACTAAAAATGTCCACCAATGACGGCAACCCTACCTGTCATTACTTAAAAAGTAATCCACGGGTTCAAAGGATAACAACAAGTCATTCGATATGTGAATGGTTGCAGCATTATTCAAATCCGCAATGACCCTATCCTAATTAAGTAATGCTGATTGTTACTGAAGTGAGAGTTGAGCTTAAAACTCTTAATGAAGTTCAGTGCTAAAACACACATACCTCTAAAAGTAACAAAGGTACTGGAAGAACTTCACCTAGACTAACTTCGAGGTGGTGCCGCCTCAATAGAGAGTTGGAGTTTCTATCTTAAAAGTTTGTCGAATAGGATGAACGCAAGGCCATAAAAGCGCTAAGCGAGTTGAGGAACTTGAGAACACGTGATACTTATAAGTGTGTTCTTATCGGTATTGTCAAAAGGAATAATTGGTTCAAAACTTCCATGCTACCTCTAATTCTGACTTTACTTTATTTGAATTACACTATGGTTAGATTCAAATCGAAAGATGTCTAATTCTTATACATAAGTGTCGTCTTTTTGAATATGTGATCGTATTGATTTTGAACAAGTAGGGGATTGTTGAATATTTGTTCAAAATCAATGGAATGATAATGGACTAACTGTTGGGCTTAATTGTGGAATTGGTAGAATCAAAAGAAATTGAAAAATACAAAATTTGATTTTTTGCCTATGCGTATGCACAGTCTTAATTTTGTGCGTACGTGAGATGTGTTTTAATAAAATTAGAATTAAATTTTGCTTCTATCATGCGTATGCAAGGTTTATACTATGCGTACGCATAGTGTTAAAAAATAACCGTTGGCTGATTTTTCAATTTGAAATTTGGGAGCCGTTTTGGACTAAAAGTTGTTACTTTTCATCTTGTTTTGGCACTATTTCGTGATGCATTGATTGAGACCTATAAATAGGTGATGAATGATCAATACAAACATAATTAGAATCATTGAAAATATCTTGAGATCCATATATAATTTCATATGGAATCAAACTATTGATTTACATTTATATTCAAGATCTTCCTTTGTGTTTTTAAAGTTTTGGAGGATTGCACTTGTGCTTTGGTTTTAAATCTTTTACAAGATTTGATATAATCCTATAAATCGTTTGCCAAAATCCTTAAGCATCTCATTCAATTCCGAGATGGGGAAAATATAGTTTGAGGACAACGATCTCCTGTTCAAGTCTCAAATTCGTTCTTGACGTATTTCGTGATTTCTATTCATTTTATTTCTATAATTTTGTTGTTGTTTCTTCTCCAACCCCTTATTTTCCAACACTTTTTCCACTGGAAAATCTCAACAAAATTGCAGTTATATTCTTTAGGGAATTTGATCAAGAAAAGTTCAACTTTGGATCATGACTTGGGAATACAGTTGAAAGGATCTCTTGATAGAAAAAACATGAATTAGCTCAAATATATGTTGCTAAAGGGCTATAATTTATATAAATTTAATGACTTCCCTGTTTGAAAAAAAATATAAATAAATAAATAAATTTCTTCCATATTAAAATTTGCTGTATTCAAATGATTATTGCCGCTATCTTTCTCATAATTGTCGTTACCTTTTTTTGCACAAAATTTTCCATTTTCATGTGGTATCCTTGTTATTATGTCTCCAAGGAATCTCCCTCTCATCATTATTTTAGGAGCTGATATTACGTTATATATCTATTCCATTCTATATCCATCCAAACTTAAAATTTTGAAAATTTACCATTCTCATCCGTATCACATTCCAATATTATCCTTATTAAATTCATTCATTTTTAAATACTTTACATCCACTGATCCACTTCAATTTTTATATATCACATACATAATTTCTTCAACTCATTTATATATCATTTTTTTCTTTTACTGACGCAAACTCTTGCATTTAGGTTGAATCGCATGCGATTCAATTAAACTGTGGAATCAGATGACAAAATGACCCAAGTTGCCCCCTCCACTTTTCAATGGTTTCCATCTTCAGAAATGTCATATTTTATAATTCCTCAGTTTTGCTGAAGTAATAAAATTATTGTATGCAATTAGCATTTTACCGTGCAGATGGAGAAACTTTACTGCTTAATGACATCGAGAAATATGTTAAAAGCATTTATTGGCATCTTACTTTTTCCCCGTTGTTCTGATGCAAAGATAAACCGTGTCAATTATAAAGAGTGATATGATGGAGTAAGAACAAAATAATCTGTCAAGAGTGGATTCACAATTACAGTACTGTTGGTTTCAATTGTGACCATTACATTTTGTCTTGAGGGCAGTGAGCAATTTTTTTATTTTTTTAATATATGTACAGATTATGAGATGTGGGATTGAATTTTTAAAAGTTTAGTTGAACAATCATTTACTTTATTTAGTTCATTAGCAGTCCTTACCTTTAGTGTATGAATTTGGAGTGATATATTTTTATCTAATTTTATGAGGGTGTTTTACACTCATTTTTATGAAAAAATTAATTTTAGAATAATAGATTGATTAAGAATGTGTTGATGAAAAATAAGTAAATTTTTTTAATTTACGTGTAATATTATTTTAATGAAGAATGTGTAATTAAAAAGAAGATAGAGAAAAATACATTTTGATAAAAATGAGAATCAAACAGACCTTATATATATATATTTCCGTGGAGGTAAATAGTAACTCTCTTAATACAATATATTAATTACATTAATTTTTTTTTTTTATCTTTATTCATTATAACATTTATATCTTTTCATGTTCATTTTTAGACCTTTCACTAACTGATAAATATTTTTTTCACTCACGACTTTCATGCCAAAAAAATAAAATAAAATAAAATCTGTTAACATGCTTTAAAATGAGGAAAAATATTTTTTCTTTCATAATTTTATATATATAATTTTTAGTTCATTTAAAAATAAGATAGAAACTAAATCAATTTACTCTATCTTAATGAAATTTATGAGTAGAAACGGTTGTCAAGAACTATTTACTTTAATTAAGAATAAGAATAAGATGAAAAAAAAGAGATATAAATGTAATAATGAATAAAGATTATAGACTTTTCATGTAATTAAAATGCGGTGTAGTTATTAAAAAATTTGAAGTGAATATATTTAACCATTAATAAAAATCCTACAAGATTGCCCTTAAATGTTTCTTGATTCGAGTAAGTATCCAAGTGCCTCGAGAGAATTCTCCACATCTTTTATAAGTCTCTCGAACATCCACATAGTTCTTCTTTACCCATCAACAAAGACAGTAAATTTTTACAAGTGAAATCAAGCAACAGTTAACTCTATATTTAAATCCATTTTGGTGGATTTCAAATTCAAAAACAATCAATATTTATTACTTAAGTGGGGATAAAAGGCATTAAAAAACAGTGTGTAATAATGAAGTAACATTGAAAGAATTGATATTCTGATATAAAGGGCGTATTGCCCTCTACTCTACTAATCATTGTATCCCCTTCACCTTTTTACCAGATCACAAGCAAACTAACAATGGAGCCATGCCATACTAATAAAACCCCCTTTTCCTTCATAGTTAGGTGAGCAGTCAGTAGTAATCTCACTTTGCCAACAGGACAATCTGTCTCTCCACAAACTATGTACCTAAGTCAAAACCAGATGTTTATTAGCAAGCATTAAAAGGTAGAATTAGAAAAGTGTCATTGATTATTACGTATAAATTATAATAATCTAACTCAGCTCGACCATGAACCTGCAAAAAGATTTTTAACTAAATGTAATTTGACAAATTTTTATTCTAGCTATACTTGCTCGGTGTGGCTGTGAAATACAGAGACTTCAACATTGGTTGTAAACCTGTCAGCTGCCACAAGCCCATAAACCTCTTCCTTCTCCTAGGTCTGAGGCCGGCTACGAAACACATACGACTCAACACTGGCCTTCAAGCTGTCGATTAGGGTTTAGCAAGCATCAAAAAGCAGAATTACAGTCTTTTGAGTATTATGTATAATCATCTACCTTCACTATTGATGTGCAAAACAGATTATGACAACGTATACTAGGATTCATGTTATAAGATTTTGACAGTTTGCTCTAGCTGTCGGCAAACTGCTACCCTCCTCCTTTGCCCAAGCTTTGGACAAACTATGTGAAACATGGAAGGACTTGCAAAAGAGATGATAGGAGACAAAAAACATTCCCCTTTATTCGTTTTTGTCATCATTTTCTCACATAAATGTTAAAGAAATGTTTCAAAGTTTAAACTAACCTATAGGGGCTCTATGATGAAAAGTGCATAAATCTACAGGAGAGGCAATCAAAGCCTCGGTAAAAGAATAATTTAATACCAAAAGAAGAAGAACTACTTTACAACCATAATTGAGGAATGGGATCATGACTAATTGATAGGATCCCATATGCTGTGTCCCCATATACTTTGTATACCCCATCAATCTCTAACCTTTGTTACCATCCTTTGTACCATTTATCATAAAGTCTTTAATGGGTCATCATGTACATCTTTGGTTATTACAACTTTTTTACTTTGTCAGTACCAATAAATACCTGTGCAAAAGTATCTATTTGTGTGTCCTAGCACATCAAACATGGCAAAAAGTTTTGATAATTCTTATCATTTGCTTATGCTGTGTACAATTCAAAATCTTTGCAAGGAAGAAAAGGATTCTATGTGCCTGCTTGCCTAAGCTTAAAAAAATTTAAATTATAAGTTCCTAAGTCTGTTTTGTGCTTGTCAAAGTTGGAAAAGAATATCTTATTTTGAAACCAATTTGGAAATAAAAGCTTAGCCAAGCATGCTCTTCGTCCTAATTTTTCCACACCATACATTCAAGCTTAAAACCAAGCATGACGAAAAATGGTGAGACGATATTTGGAAAGTAAAGCTAGGAAAAAGACGGAAGGTAGGAAAATGTTATGTTACTAGATTAAGAGCGTACCAGTGTATGACACGTGTAAAGCGAGAAATGGAGAAAGTAACAGCTCGACCACCAGGAATATCAATCTCGTGGGATTATGGTAAAAGAATATACGCTACTGCTTTGAAACCATAAATCAGTTGAAGTTGTTGCAATATCAATTTCAGCTCCTGAAATGCATTTCATGATACCCGACAGCCTCCCTTGCTTGCAGGCTGCTCAAAACATCTTTCAACAATTATAGCAGAATAACTAATCACAGTGCAAAATTCAAATTCTTCAACACACGGGTTGGAAACTTCTACAAAAGGGTCCAGCCTGAAAAGAAAGAGAGCATTTGAATGTTTAAAAGACAAGCTACTGAATAGATAATAGGATTAAAGTTTAGTAATATAATTTAACACACACAAAGAAAGAGAGAGAGGGAGAGATATAACTACACTTCAGCCCTCTTTTCCATTTGATCATGACAATTGACAATAAAGCTCTCTGATGGATTTCCATTCTCCATGGTGGGGTACTACCATATCCTAGACAGCCACTATTGGGATGTAGATAGGAGTAAATAGTGCTTCTTCAGCAACAAAGATCTATTTCTTGATTGTTCCAAGGACCGAGTCTGGTTTGCCATCCACCCAACAAATTTGGGCAAATATATCTCTGGAAAATGGAAAAAAAAAAAAGGCGACCTAGTGTTCGTATAATGTTCCTTGGAAACCCTTTTCTCCTCCGAACTTAGTTTGTTATTCCACCCATGCTGTTATAAATGTCACTCCAGTCTGGGAATACGTGTGGAATATCATAGGCAATCAAACATGAACAAATGAACAGATAAGATTATTAAACAGCGATTAAGAAAATTCTGAAAAAGGCTCAATTTGCCTTTCATTTTAATGATGTAATGTACATAGATGCGGTGGATGGGGAAATATGACTGTGTTAGGTAATACAACAAAAGAACATGAATTTGTAAATTAAATTGCTAGAAAAGTACAAAAAATCCTATGCAGCGTTGAGCCTCCTGATATTCACAAACAACAGAATGAAAAAATAAGCAATATGCATGATGAATTTGTGTGAGGAATTATTAGAATTATAAATCAAAGATTTCATACCCTTATGTCATACAATTTATTGGTATACCTTTTCTCTCAATAATTCATGAAATTATAATTAACACAATGCACTGCAACAAGTAACGTAAGATACAGTCTTGAAGCTACAATTAGCAAATAGTGGCAATTTGTTATGAATGTCAGACTATAACAAAGTTTCATGAAGAGGATCATGAAAACTATCTATAGTAACTAGTACTCAACATTCTGCTGCAAATCCCTGTTCTATTTTTTGGACGAAAGTTATCATTATCAACAATAATGGATTTTCTCTGTACACGCCAAGAACCTCTATTATCCATTTCATAGGTCTTGAAATTAAATATTCTGGCAGTTTCCAGTAATACAATAGCTGGATTTCTGTCCTATAAAATCTCTTTAGTCTATTTCTGAAAAAGAATTTAGTAAATCCTACACCCAGAATACTACAAGAATTAATGGATAAAACATTACATTGAAGATGAATCTGCAAGAACCTCATTAAGCATATCATCTTCACCACTCATGATGCCAAACAGCTCCGCATCCTCTTCTTCCTCACTGGAAAAATCCCTTCTCTCGAATTTCGCATGCGCAGCAATGAAAATAAGCTTCTGAGCTCTCTCTAGGCCTAATCTTGAGTGTCCTTGCAAACAGAACCATCTCATGGAGGACCGATTCCACTTAATCCCACATGAGGTTGCATGAAGGAAGAGAAGCCTCACAGCAACTTTACCCAGAGACTTGAACTCTTTGAGGCAAGTTTCCCACACAACTGTACTACTCTGAGTGTTAGCATTCTTCATCTTCCCTGTCACGGGGTCTCGTTTCTTCACCTGAACTGCCTGTGCATATAATGGATCCAACCCTTCGGATCTCCACTTCATAAGTTCCATCAATGCATTATGAGCTTCCTCCCTTGAAACCAGCCGTGTTATGAGATTTTCAACATCCTTCTCTTGTTCATGTGTCAAGCACTTAAACGGTGGAAGGTACTTTCCACTCACATCCTTCACCAAGTATAATGGATCAAGTATAAATGCAGCTGACCACGCAGGGTGATAGTTTCTCTTAAATCGCTTTTCAACTATCTTGTCAACAGGCTCCTGAGCAAAGTTATATTTAGAGCACCAATCTTTTACTTTAGCTCTCAATTCCTCCCAAAGTGGAAGACATTGCCCAACTAATGGCCTTTCAGCCTCAATGTCTTCAGCCATTTGCGTGATCAACTTCACTAATGCAAGAACAGCCTCCAAGTCGGTCCAGAAACCAACATCCTGTATCATATCAAATACTTCCCTCGCCGTAGGATCCTCTAAGCAAACAGCTTTATACAAATCATCTAACACAACTAGATGTAGAACACGAGAATTGCACAATATATCCTCTAACATTGCTACAAAAGGACCAATATTCTTCGACATGTCACATTTAGGAGGAGGAACTCTGATGAACCGTGCAAACTCAACTCCTTGCAGTCTAAACTTGCGAAAACTATTTCTAATCTGAGACTTAGAGTTGTACAAAATTGCAATCTTCAAGCAATGATCAGTTACAGTTCTAAATAGAGGAAGTTCTCTACAAAAATCCTTGATCAAACTTAAGAATCCCTGAAGTTGACAGGATAAATTAACCATCCAGTGATTCTGAATTTCTAAATTCCTCAATGCTTTTGCTTTGTACTTATCTGAAACAATCCCTACGCATCTTTGTGTGGCATTGCCGCAGATTCCTCTAATTATCTCCCAAGAAACATCTTCCGCATACTCTGATGGCACTGATCCACTGTCCACATACACGGCCTTTTGAAACACTCTCGTTCCATTAGGAAGGTTCACCAAAAACTTAACCAAAATCTCTTCCCCACGAATGCAACTCTTACCCTTCCATCCATCTGAAGCAACCTGGAAAAAGACTGCATCCCTAATTCTAGTTTCAGACTCCATTCTTGCTGCCTCAAACTTAGAATCAAGCCTTGCGCTTGTAAATTCCCTCCGAGACACTGCAGGCAAGCCAACCTGGTTCAAAAAAGCCTTGAACTTGGGATGCTCCAGACTGCAAAATGACACCGACCCACATGACTCATAAAACCAATCAGCCAAGAAATTAAAAGCTGAATCAACTTGGTCCTTGTTTAAAGCATGACGAGGCGAAGCTTTTGGACTTTTGAGCTTCTTAACACTATCTTCCAACTGTGCTAAAGCCCCCAAATCCTCTTTACCACCAGACAAAATTAGTGGCTGCTGATTCGAAGCTGGCACCTGTGCAATTGGAGTAGGCGAGAAGCTTAATTCATTACTAAACCTCGACATATCAACCATGTCAACAGGATAAACACTGGAAGAAGCGCCTGCTGCTTGCTGTGACTGTGAGCTTCGCTTGCGATGATTATGTTGCGAAGATGGCGAGGTCAATGGAGGTAACTGCGAAATGGGCTTCAATACCGGGCTGAAATTGGGGCAAGTTCCCCTCTTGAAATGTTCCGTGGCAGTCCTAGACGGATTTGACGCGGAAAATGCGGCGTCACAGAGAGTGCACTTTAGTTTCACCGCTTTTGGAAGATTGGTTTCAGGATTCGTGATCAGAATGGGCTCAAGATGAGACCAATACCAAGCTCCTTTTCCTTTAATTGCCTTTGTACGGACAGCCATTAACCCTTCAAATCGCTTGTTCAACAACTTCACGGTCACATCTTCGGACCCATCCATTGAGTTTGCATTAGCACTAGCCATCGAAACAGACTTTAATTCCCCGCAAATGGGTCTCTGAATTTCAGTAACAAGCTATAATTTGTCTTGATAAATGTCAGAGCTCTCCTTTTATGGTTGGATTGTTATGAGCTCGGCAAGAGTCTGGTTAATTCGCCATTTTGATGCTAAACTGTTCGTCTTTTGGATAAGCTTAGCTAGGAAATCGATTCAAAGGTATGGTGGGTTTACGAATCCGCCGGAGTTCCATGCCGGAAAATGTAGAAAAATCAATAAAACGGTCAATCAAGTGTCAAATAAAAAGAACTGTAGCGACAAAAGCCCTCTATATAATTATACAGAGAGAGTGGCGGAGATATAAAAAGAGAGTGTGGTGTCGAGAGAGATAGAGGAGTGTCTCCGTTCTTGTAAACTTCGGTTTCTGAGATGAATAACGGAGGGGTACCTGATACCACGTGTTCGTCAAGGCCCATGTACAGAATCCACGAATCGTAAATTGAACATTTGTCAATAAGTAGGTCCCATGAAATAAAATGGCAATCAGCACATGAAATTTTGAGTGAAAATTTTGCCAAACAACACATATCGCAAAACCATTGAAAGATGAAGAGAGAGAAAAAAAAGGCCAATCATGCTCACTATCACGTCAGCATCCTATGAATTCTATAAACATTTTTACGTATTCATGGCTTTCTCCATAAAATGGCCACTTCTAATAGCATTTTCATTGAGAGCGCAAAATAGAGATTTATATTTTTTAAAGAGTAATGTCATTAACTCCAATTTATAGTGCAATTAAATAAGTCATTTAATTCAACATATACTGGTTATAAACGTAGAGAGACCAAATAACATCATTCCTTTAAAAATGATTGAAAACTTCTCCAATAGAAATATACAAAAGAAAATATAGGGAAAAAATAAATGTAAAATTTCATTCGTAAAAAGTAAAAAAGTGAATTTAGATCTTCTCATTAAAGTAGAATTTAGATTTAGATTTATCAGAAAGTAAATGAGAATACAAAAGTAATTTTAGAGATTTCAATTTATGCCTAATCTTACACTATCAATGGAGATTCTCTAATTTTTAATTTTTGTGTAGAAAGATCACACACCTGAAGGCTCAGTTTGTTGACCAACGCCCTTATAGATCCGTGGACCTTGCCTCTAACGAGTCAGGTGAAGTTTCAAACTTTCCGATTTTGTTTCTTAGATAGAATTTAAAGAATATAAAAAATTAAATATAGAATAAAAGTCTATGAACTTGCCTTTGAACCAGTTCGCTAAGCCCGCGAGCTCCTAGAGAAACGAACAAAGCCGATTAACCGAACTAGCAAATGGTCACCCATCCAACACTCCAATTTTGAGATCCATAAAAAAAGAAAAAAAAAAAGAAAAAAAGAAAAAGAAAATTAAAGCTCTATGCTATGGTCAATTAGGTGCAATACAATTTTTTTTTCCATCCTGAAATTGACTCTGTAGAAATATTTTTTTATTAATAGACTTTAAAACAGTCATATAACCAAAATATTTTCTCATATCAATAAAATGGAAATATTCTGATTTCAAGATAAGAAAATATTGGGAAAATGTTAAGCTGCAAACACATTATTTATTCGATCTATTACTTTTTTGTAGATTTGGGCATTTGATGGATCGTCTGGATATTTCATTACACTTTGGATAATTTACAATGGAATTATTAGAGTTTATGTAATTAATGGAACCAAATCAAAACTCGAACCATCGATTCCAATAACATTTTTATAGAATCTTTTTAATACTTAACAAAGTTAGAAGAAATAAAATATGTTACCAAATACATATTTCAACACTTTTTAATTAACTACGAATATGTCATTAAATAACATCCAATATCTGACACAATATCATTCAATTTCTATTGTAACTGTGGTACGATGCCTCGATAAGGGTTTTAGGGCGGGCAGCATGTAAAGTGCTTTTAGGAGTGATTATAAACAGAAGTAATATGATTCAATTACTCAAATATGATTTACTACTTGAGCTTTGCTAACTAGCTACTTGTTAGACCTTTCAAACGTGCTATTTGTTGGATTGGGTCATTAAAAAAAATTAAAAACTTGCAGAAATGAGAAATTCAGTTCCAAAGTTGGGAACTCATTGCTCCGATTCAAGTCAAGATTTGACACGAATCAGGTCAGTTTTCGATTTTGATTTCTATTTTTTTTTTTTTATATTTTGTTTTTTTTTTTTTTATATTTTGGAATTGAATCAATTCCAATTTAAGAAGTTTGATTCCGGTTAAAATGTTATTTCTCTTTGCTCAAATATCATTAAAAAAATTCAAAAGATATAAACATAAAAAATCGAGTTATTTTAAATTTTGTTTAGCTGCTTTTAGAATACCTTGGACGTCATCTTGTCGACTAAATTAGCGCATGTTAGTAGAATAATTTAAATTATTTACTTTTGGAATTTGAATACAACCAAAATCTCTAATCAAATCATAATTATTCATGTTAGTGGACAAATTAGTCATAACTGTAAGTATTATCTCAAATCTGTCAATTCTTCCTTTAGTCGTAAAATAATAATAATAATAATAATAATAATAATAATAATAATAATAATAATAATAATAATAATAAAAATAATAATAATAATAATAATAATATTGCAGAAAATTCCAAAATTGAATCTAAGGGTGCGTTTGATTGCGAGCATGAAATTTGCATGGAAAGAAAATAAATTTTAGGTGATCTAATTGTTTAGAACTTATCTGCATAAAAATTGTTAAATATGTTTGATTGATTTAATTTTCAACTAAAAAAATATTATATTTGTTCATTTTTTATTGATGGGTAGATGAGAGAGAGAAATAGAGAATGAATTCCCTAAAAAATAAAATCATATTCCTCCTAAAGAAAATATTTTCTTTGATTTTGAAAAAAATATGATCACGTGATCAAAAGTATGGAAATATTTTACATGAAAAAAATATCAGTCAAACAGTATAAAAGTAAAAATTCGGGTGGAAAATCACATTTTTTATGAAAAAAATTGGCAATCAAAATGCATCCTTAGATAAAATGTAAAAGAGAAAAACATAAAAAATAAATAAATTGTGAAGCTCAATGCCTGAGCTGAAAATCTATGAAAAGAAATTGGGAAAAAAAAACAAAAATCACTAATGTTTGAAAGGAAAAGAAAGTTAACATTTTTGTTATTATATTGTTCAAGACTTGAGCCCTTTGTACATAAATGAGGCTACAGAAGACTACCAGAATACTCACATGGTGGGCCCCATGTGGGTGATAAAATAACGCCAAGAAATCACCCACCCACCCCATTGTTTATGTTGTCAGGTCAAATTCTGTACAAAGGGCTACTATACAATACAACTCTGTTGATTGTTCAATATTATACACTATATATGAATTAAAATTTTGGATTAAACGTGGCAAAAATACATATGAATTCTTAGTAATTTCTCAATGGAACTAGCAGGCCTTGTTAGATTCTTATTTTTATCAAAATATATTTTTCTCTCTATTCTTTTTAACCACTCATTCTTCATTAAAATAATATTACACAAATTAAAAAATTTTCCTTATTTTTCATTCACACATTCTCCATTAATCCACTATTTTAAAATTCATTTTTTCATAAAAATAGACGTTAAACACCCTCTTAGAGTGAAGTGGTTAATTAATTGACCATGACTCCTAAACTGAATCATAAACATAACAATGAATTAAAAGAAAGATTCCTAGGAGGAAGAGAGATAATCATCAATCAGCAAATTTTAAAAGAGTTTCAATATTTTATCACAAATCATAAAAAAACGATAATAATAAACAAAGTTTTATTTTCAATAAATTTAGAGTAAGATATTCTATTTTAAATGCTAAATTTACTAAGAATAATAATCTAAATTTTATATTTTAATTGTTGTTTTTATATTTAAGTGGTGTGAGATTTTACCTCAAGTGTCTTGTAAGATGGTAATTTATTTGAGAAAAAAAAACAATTTAAAAATTTGTCTGCTTATTTGAACTTTCTTTCCTTCTTCTTCTCCCCCCCTTTTTTTTTGGCTGTAATACAATATCAAATCTTGTGGTTCCAACTTATATTTCAAATTTAAATAATGAAAAGTTTTACAAATAATATATTAATGTTTTTACGAGATTCGATCCATTTGTTATTACGTCAAACGTTCAAAACAATTAGATCTTTAACAAGTATAACGGTCAATCATGTCAGTATTGTTTAATTCTCTACACTCTAACTTGGAAAAGAAAAAAAAAAAAAAAGATTATTAACTAATGAAATGATGGTTTTGCTTAATCATCAAGGAAATTAAAAGCTGAAATTAAGTAAATTAACGTTAATCCGTCAATAAGAAATTATTTGATTTTCAAGTGTTATAAACGTGTCTTGTGATGTTTTGATTTTCATATGACTAAAGAATATTCCAACTATAATTATTTTGATCTTTGAAAGTAACAAGAAAGTTCCCAATATTGCTTTTTCACCTTTCAGCTGATGGTCGGTCCACGTATGAAAATTCATAATGTAACTTATTTCACTTATGAATCTTACAATATGATCAAACTCGCGTAATAATATATATGTTAAATGATCTTTAATAAAATTATTCACTGTTTAATAATTTAAATAATAGATACGATAGTTTAATGTGACAGCAAACCAGATAAATTTTTTGAGTGCAAATCTTAACGTGTTTATTTATAAAAAAATTTACATCGTCTAATCCTCCAATAAAATAATGAATAGAACCTACACTCCAAGGGTGCGTCAATTCTCAAACTTTCGATTAATTAACACATTTTATATTTAACAATGATTTATGTCCAAAATGTATGTTAAAATAGCATATAACAACCATTTTTCCACCATATTTAAAAAAAAATAAAAATAAATAACAAAGTACGAAGAAATATTTTTCTCTCATTTCAAAACATGGAAATAAAATATGTTAGCATAAAGCATCATAAAAAACGAGATGTACTAATTAATGGAAGGTTATATATAAGAATTTGACGAAAAAATTAAGAAAATAATTGCTACAACAAGAAAAGATTGAGTAGTTCAATTGCAATAAAAATGTAATGAAACAAATGAAAATTGAAGTGGTAATATAACCAACCTTTCTTATTTTTGGTAGGCTAAATATATCCAAACCACATTTTTACATTAATGCAATATATGTTATTGTATGAAAGGTTAATAACCTTTATTCATTATCACATTTCCGTCCACAACATTTTTTTTTTAAAATCTTGTTTTATCCTCAATATTTCATTAATTAGCACAAAAAATTGTCCTCATTTTAAAATATGCTAATTGAAATTTTGTATGAGAATTGAAAAATATTATTAAAGACAAGGTAGCTAATTGATGATATCTTCACACGTGAGGATGAGGATTACCCAGTATTAAAATGGTTCTTTGAAATGTACACTTTCAATTTTAAGAAACATGTAGAATTCTTTCAAAAATCAGGTGATA